ACCAGAAGAGGAGCTGGTTTGACAGAGAAAGATTAACAGTTCAGTTTTGGACAGAGTAAATCTGCATCGCCTATGAAAGCACTCGAATGCAAATGTTGTCTTTTCTAACAACTCTTTGGTCCCTTCAGGACCTTCCAGCCATGAGCTCTCTCATCTTTTCGTGATCTCTCACCCTTCTTTTGCCCCTGCTTCAGTTTCTGTGGGACTTAGATGCCACGGATCATTATTAAAATCCCATCCTTAAGGTGAGTGGATGGCTTGAATCCAGGAGTTTGAAAACAGCCTGGGCAACATGGCAAAACCCCGTCTCTGCAAAAAAATACTATAAGTTAGACAGGTGTGGTGGTGCACACCTGTAGCCCCAGCTACTCGGGAGACTGAAGCAGGAGGATCGCTTGAGCCCAGGAGGTTAAGGCTGCAGTCAGCCATGGTCTCAGCACTGCATTCCAGAGCCTGGGTTACAGAGCAAGACCCTGTCTCAAAAAAATAAAACAAAACAAAAACAAACAAACCAAAAACCAAAAAACAAAGAACAAAAAACAAAAACAAAACAACTGACAAAAACCAAAACCAAAACCAAAAACAAAACCCATTCTTGCTTAAAGTTTCTGCTTCCTTGACCTTTTATTCTCTGTTATACTTACCCGTGTTAGGGGCTGAATGGTGTACCCCCCAAATTCATATGTTGAAATCCTAACCCTTAGTGCCTTAGAATGTGACTGTATTTGAAGATAGGGTAATAGCTTTAAAGAGGTAATTAAGTTAAAATGGGTCATTAAAGTGAGCCCAAATTCATTATGACTGGTGTTCTTATAAAAACAGGAAAACTGGACAGAGGAGTTCACAGGGAAGACCATGTGAAGACAGAGTGAGAAGACAGCCACTTACAAGCCAACGGGAGAGGCCTCAGAAGAAATCAGCCTGGTGACGGCTTGATCTCATACTTCTACCCTCCAGACCTGTGAGTCAATACATTTCTGTTGCTTAAGCCACCCAGTTGTGGCACTTTGTTATGGCAACCCTGGAACACAAATACATGCAGCAAATCCCAACCCTGTCAAATCCAACTCTGTTCACTTTCACCCTTTTGTTTAAACAGTGGTGAGTGGCTGGGCAAAAGAACACAACCTACTAACTGACCTTTTAAAAAATTACTGACCACTTGATGATACCCTGAGAACCCACAGTCCATTTGCTCTCCTGGTCTCCTTCCAGGTCTACCAGCACCCCACCAACTCTTAGAAGACAACTTTTTTTTCTCATTTCGCTGAGAAGCAGCAGAAAAGTACATCCACGTCATCATCATCAAATCCATGAACTTCCCAACCCTGAAAGCTGTTTTCCAAATTTCTTCTGTGAGGTGGTGGAGCTCCTACCCACACTCTCACCTGTGCTTTGGATACCTATCACCAATATATGAGTCCAGGAGTTCAAGACCAGCCTGGGCAACATGGTGAAACCCTGTCTCTACATAAATAAATAAATAAATAAATAAATAAATAAATAAATAAATACAAAAAATTAGCCAGGCCCATGGTAGTACGTTTCTGTAGTCCCAGCTACTTGGGAGACTGAGGCAGGAGGATCACTTGAGCTCAGCAGGTCGAGGGAAATTACTGGAGCAATTGTCAGTTGTTGCCTGCCTACTGAGTCATCCCAGCATCCTGCAAACATACTGTGATAATCTCATCTTAGAACAAAATATTCTCTCCTGCCTTGACTGCCCAGCATCCTCTAGCTATGGCTTTATTTCTTGATTCCATTTTACAGAAAAGCTCTCCACACACACACAAACTCCAGCTAACTTACTGATACCACTTACCTTCTCACATAGTCTCCTAAACCTACTGTGGGTGGGCTTTGTCCTCATCATTCCTCTAAAATTATTTCTCTTGTCAATATCATCAATAACTTTCAGGGTACCCTTCCTCTTGTCTCAGGGATCTTCCTTCCCAGTTCTCTTTGCTGAAGCTCTCTCATCTTTCTGACCTCTGCCACACGAGTAGCCCATGGCTGAGCCTCTGGAACTCTTCTGTTTCTGCACACACTCTTCACATGATTTTATATATACTCTTGGCTTTAAAAACTGTCCATAGCTAAGACCTCCCTTATTAGTGTCTCCATCATTAATCCCTTGCTCAAACTCCAGAAGCTTATACCCAAGTGGCTCCTTGATGCCTCCTGTTGGGTGTCTAATAGACATCTCAAATTTAGCACATCAAAAACCAAATTCTTGATTCATGCCTCTTCCCAAGACCAAATCTACTTCACCTCCCATTTTCTCATCACTGGAGATTGCAGTGCTTTCCTTCCTTTGGTCAGTTACACAAATAAAAAATCTTGGCATCATCTTTGACTCATCTCTTTCTTGCAAATGCTACATCCAATTCATCAGCAAATCCTGCTACTGCTACCTTCAAACTCTATTCAGAATCCATCTTTTTTTTCTTTGCCACCTTCATTACTGGTATTACAGCCATTGTAACTGTTGTCCATCCTTATCCTCCTACAATTTATTCTCAATATCAAGCCAGATTGAGCCTTTAAAATAGTATGTCAGATCAAGTCATTTGGTGACCTTGTATGGGTTAAAAATAAAATGCACACAAACGGGTTAAAAATAAAATACAAAAACAGACACACAGACCAATGAAACAGAATAGAGATCTCAGAAATAAGACTTCACATCTACAACCATCTGATCTTTGACAAATCTGACAAAAACAAGCAATGGGGAAAGGATTCCCTATTTAATAAATGGTGCTGGGAAAATTGGCTAACTATATGCAGAAAATTGAGACTGGGCCCCTTCCTTACATGTTTTTCAAAAATTAACTCAAGATGGATTAAAGATTTAAAATATAAAACCCAAAACTATAAAGGCCCTAGAAGAAAATCTAGGCAATACCATTCAGGACATAGGCAGTGGCAAAGATTTCATAATGAAAATGTCAAAAGCAATTGCAACAAAAGCAAAAATGACAAATGGGATCTAATTAAACTCAGGAACTTCTGCACACCAAAACAAACTATCATCAGAGTGAACAGACAATCTGCAGCATAGGAGAACATTTTCACAATCCATCTCACAAAGGTCTAATATCCAGAATCTATAAGGAACTTAATTTACAAGAAATAAATAACCCCATTAAAAAGTGGGCAAAGGACATGAACAGATATTTCTCAAAAGACGACATTTACACGGCCAACAAACATATGAAAAAAAGCTCAACATCATTGATCATTAGAGAAATGCAAACCAAAACCACAATGAGATACCATCTCATGCCAGTCAGAATGGTGATTATTAAAAAGTCAATAAACAACAGATGCTGGTGAGGCTGTGGAGAAATAGGGACACTTACACTATTGGTGGGAGTGTAAATTAGTTCAACCATTGTGGAAGACAGTATGGGGGATTCCTTAAAGATCTAGAACCAGAAATACCATTTGACCCAGCAATCCCATTACTGGGTATATACCCAAAGGAATATAAATCATTCTATTATAAAGATACATGCGTGCATATGTTCATTGTAGCACTATTCACAATAGCAATGACATGGAATCAACCCAAATGCCCATCAATGACAGACTGGATAAGGAAAATGTGGTACATATACACCAGGGAATACTGTGCAGCCACAAAAAGGAACGAGATCATGTCCTTTGCAGGGACATGGATGAAGGTGGAAGCCATTATCCTCAGCAAACTAACACAGGAACAGAAAACCAAGCACTGCATATTCTCACTCATAAGTGGGAGCTGAACAATGAGAACACATGAACACAGGGTGGGGAACAACACACACGGGGGCCTGTTGGGGAGAGGGGAGGGAGGGAGAGCATCAGAAAGAATAGCTAAAACGTGGGGCTTAATACTTAGGTGATGGATTGATAGGTTCAGCAAACCACCATGGCACGTATTTACCTAAGTAACAAACCTGCACGTCCTGCACATGTATCCCAGAACTTAAAACAAAATACAATAAAATAAAAATATAAAATATAAATAAAACGCACAGTCCAAAAGAGTCATCCTGTCCTACAGGGCCATGGGTGATCTGGCCTCCTGCTACTTTCCGAACTTCTGTTCTGTTTTCCTCAATGCTCTAGCCTAACTACAATTGGCCTCCTTGCTGCTCCCGAACAGGCAAAGGGCTTTTCTGCCTTAGAGTCTTTGCACCTGCCATTTCCTCTGCTTGGGAAATGTTTGTCCCAAGGGAGTTGGGTAACTTGATAGCTCACATTACTTAGATCTCTGCTTGAATGTCACAGATGTTGTCTTAACAAAGAAGAGGCAAGAAAAGCCACTTTATTATTTATTAAACTCCCACAGAGTGCAGTATTACTGTGTGCCAGACCCTGCTTCAAACACATTTCATGGACTATAAAACTGCATCTCTGAGCAACTCCATGGAGCTGGTAGGAAAAACTTACACTTAATGGGTGATTACCATGTGCCAGGTATTATGCTAAACACGTTGTAGATATTAACTCACTTAATTCTCGTAACAATCTCATGAAGTAGGTACTGCTACCATCCTGGCTTTACATCTGACGTACGGAGTTGGGTAACTTGCCCCATGTCATCCCAGATGAACTAAATTTGAACCCGGAGCTTAGCCACTGATGCCACTTGAGAGAAGGAGTCAGACTTGAGTCTTGAGTCTTTAAAGGTGGTTGACCAGGCATTTGTCAGAGTTAAGAAGAAGACGTACGACGACACCCTTTTCCAGGCAGAGGGCATTGTGTGCACACAGGTATAGAAGCGGGCAGCCCGCCCTCATGCGTTCCAGGAAGCAAATGTGGCTCAGGTGTAAAGTGCCCAGTTGATGAAAGGAGTTAGGGGAGGGAGTATAAGGATGTACTGGCTGCCCTCTTACCACATCTGCAGAGGATTAAGGTGGCTATTTCTCCCTAGAGGTGGAGTGGGTGGGTCACTGCACAGGAGCCTTGGTCTTTTAAACTCTTATTGGTGTAACCAGCCACTGAACTCTGAGGCAAGGGGTTGGGGGTGGGAAGGGAAACAGAGAAAAGGCAAGTGAAAGAGAAGGGGAGGTGCAGTTTCAGAACCCAGCCAGCCTCTCTCTTGCTGCCTAGCCTCACGCCGGCCTCATCTTCGCCCAACCGACCCCACCTGGAGTCCTATGGCCAACTGCGAGTTCAGCCCGGTGTCCGGGGACAAACCCTGCTGCCGGCTCTCTAGGAGAGCCCAAGTCTGTCTTGGCGTCTGTCTCCTGGTCCTCCTGATCCTCGTCGTGGTGGTCGCGGTGGTCCTCCCGAGGTGGCGCCAGCAGTGGAGCGGGTCGGGCACAACCAGCGGCTTTCCTGAGACCGTCCTGGCACGATGCGTCAAGTACACTGAAGTCCATCCTGAGATGAGGTGGGTTGGCGACTAATGCCCACCGGTGGGCACTGCGGGGACAGCAGGGCCTGGCGCGCGGGGGAGGCGCCCAGATCGCCCGGAACCGAGCATGTTCCGTGGCGGGTCAGACGAGAGCCCGCCGGGTGGTGCTGAGTAGGGAGTCCCGGGCTCGGGGCTCCGCGGGCCGCTTGCAGGAGCAGCTGACCTTGGCATCGAGCGTGCCCACGGGGGGGAGGGGGGCGCCGCTCGGTGGCTCTGCTGCGTAGCCGGTGAACACCTGGCACCGATGCCTGCCTTCTGGGCAAGGTGCCCTGAGCCCAGCCCCTCGCCGGGCTGCAGCCCACCCTCGGTACGCTCAGCCCCACTTCACCGCTTTAGGGACAGAAAATAACACGCAGACGCAGGCGGTCGCTGACATTTTCAACTTTTTCTGCGGTTTCCGCCCTCCGTCTCTGACCCGAAAGTGCCAGGACGGTTGCAGAGGACACTTGATTGTGGCTTGTAAAGCCTGTGGTCGGAGAGGAGGGTGTAGAAGGGCTAAACCACGGAAGTTAGTTTTATTCATTTACATAAAACAGCATTCCGATTCTTTTTGCGCGGGCTGAAATACATGTGACTAGAGAAGTAATTAACAAAACAATGTCAGCTTCTAAAAAGTGAGACATTACTTATATGATAAGGCGCAGCAACTCGGTGAAGCTGTACAAACCTCAGGAAAAAACCACCACATGGGACCTTCCAGTTTTCTCATGCTTCTTCCCAGCTACCAACCTCTCCTAAAGGGAAGTGCTTTTTAGATTTGATTCCCAGGGCTTGCTTTCACAGGCAGGACTCATTTTCGTTTCTTGTAAAACAGAACAAGCCGGGAAGGGGGGAGCTGCTACTTTAGGTTGTGTGCTTGTGATAGCAAAATCCCGCATTTAAGCAATCCCAGGAAATGAGGGAAAAGACCTCCCTCGCTTCTCCGAGCACACGCAACGGTTCCGGTTGCAAAATGTTCGCCTTCTGGGATTCCCAGCGTCCCGTTAGTTGTTCTATTTACACATAATTAGATACTTAACGGAGAGAGAAACTAGAAGTTGAGGCGTTCCTCCAGGCTGCATTGTAAAGTATGAAGTGAAATCCAAAATGAAATGGTAATGTCAGAAAGCAACCTCATGCCAAAAAAAAAAAAAAAGGAAACTAACACTGAAAAAGGAAACTAACACTGGTCTTGAAGATCTTTCAATGTGAATACATATAGATTTATCTCATTTCTTTTAACAGCCCATAGTATTTCATAAACTAGATGTAACCATTTCCTATTGACAGGAAATTAGCTTATCTCCAATTTTTCAATCCCACTCATCCAACAAGTATCTGTTGAGCACACACTCTGTTCCAGGCAGTGATCTAGCTGCTGATGACACTAGTGAATGACAAAGTTCTTGCTCATGAAATTTTCACCTTAGTTGGGAGAAACACGATGTAATGAAAATCTTCATACATATATTGTGTGTACATATGGGAGTATTTCTGTAGGATAGATCTCTAGTGATGAAATTGCTGAGTAAAAGGGAGCATTAGGCTTATTTTAAGTTTTGATTTTTCCAAATTCCAGGTATTCCAAATATCCTCCAAAATAGTTGTGCCATTTTACTCTCCCATCATCAGTCTATCAGAGGGGATGCTTTCCCACAATCTCTTCAATGCTGAATATTTTCAACTTTTTTACCTAAGAGAAAAAAAAGCATCTAATTGTTCCCTCAGTATCAGTGAGTCTAAACATCTTGTGAATGTTTATTTGCCACTTATATTTTTTTTCTGTGATTTTCCTGTCCAGATACTTGATACTTTCTATTGAGCTGCTTATTTATTTCTTCTTGTGGGAACTTTTTATATATTTTAGATAATATTCACACACACACACACATACACACACACACACACACAGAGTCTTAGATCCCTTTTGGGATCTTGGGGAGGATTCTGCTGGTGAGAGAGTGTGAACTTCATCTTGGCCTGTCCACACCTGGACCTTCTCAGCACACAAGAGAGTATGAGGGTGACCATTTTGCACAGGACAGAATTCCAGCATGTTTGCCCCCTGGAGTGATGGAATGGCCACGTGCTCACCATCAGTGTCCCCACTGAGACCATGAGATTCATTAGAGCACTGGAAAGCATCATGCTCACCTGTGCTTCTCAGCGCTTAGTGTTATGATTGAAGGCTTCCTTCAGTCCTACCTTTTGTTCTGGGGTTCTAAGAATCTTAGGTGCAGGCCAGGCACGGGGGCTCGCACCTGTAATTCCAGCACTTTGGGAGGCCGAGGCAGGTTGATCACGAGGTCAGGAGATTGAGACCATCCTGGCAAACATGGTAAAACCCAGTCTCTACTAAAAATACAAACATTAGCCAGGCATGGTTGTGTGCACCTGTAGTCCCACCTACTCAGGAGGCTGAGGCAGGAGAATCGCTTGACCCTGGGAGGTGGAGGTTGCAGTAAGCCAAGATCATACCACTGCACTCCAGCCTGGGTGACAGAGCAAGACTCTATCTAAAAAAAAAAAAAAAAAAAAAAAAAAAAAAAAAAATCACAGGTGCACCTGGGACAGATTGAATGTGGAAGGGGAAGGCCTTCGAGGTGTGGGGCCTGGGTGCTGCTGTGGTTACAAACGGGGAAGTGAGACCATAAGCCTCAGTTGTGGAAGGAAAGGTGGAGTACTTATGCAAATTAGCTGATTCTAGGGCCTTAGGGTGCTACCACCAGAATATCAGGGAATAGAATCTTCTAGAAGCAAAAGCTATTTGGAAGCCCCCAAAGTGGATGAAAAAGCTGAGTGGGAAACAACAGAGATTTCAGGAGAGGGAGAAGAAGATACCTACTTCTGTGCCTTTTGGCCTCGTGTTTTGCTTCAGACATTGTTCCCAGGAAGGTCAGTGGAACCCACTGCTCAAGACACACACTTGCTCCTTGTTCTGGTGTCCTAATAGCTGCAGAAAGTGGTGGCGTTTAGCCTGGAGAACATTTCTTTCTTTTTTTTTTTTTTTTAATCACAATGAACACTCATGGCTTCTCTGCTTCCTCCTTTTCTCTTTGTCTTAGGACTCTTGAAAAACAGCTGCCAAATGTCAGTTTAGATATTTTGGAGGGAAAAAAGTTGAGAATCAATGTTTACGGGTTGCCTGCAATGTACTGAAACTACATAGTTGGTTCTTTTCAAACTTTCTCCTAATCCTGTCAGGAAAGTCCCAGGAACCCCATTTTAGGGTTGGGGAAATGGACCCCGAGAGAGATGAAGTAACTTGGTGATATGCTCTAGCCCGGCTGGCTATGCAATTTATGGAGCCTAGTGCAGAATGAAAATGTGGGGCTCAGTTTTAAAAAAGCAGGAAACAGCTTTTCCTTTCTTCCAGGGTCTTTTCCTCCAATTGCCACGGTGGTGTTTGGTTGCTATTTAATGTTGAGCCCCTTTGAGCACAGTGTGTCCGGAATTGGTGGGTTCTTGGTCTCAGTGACTTCAAGAATGAAGCCAAGGACCCTCGCAGTGAGTGTTAAGTTCTTAAATATGGTGTGTCCACAGTTTGTTCCTTCAGATGTTCAGATGTGTCTGGAGCTTCTTCCTTCTGGTGGGTTCGTGGTCTCGCTGTCAGGGGTGAAGCTGCCGACCGTCAGGGTGAGTGTTACAGTTCTTAAAGGCAGCGTGTCTGGAGTTGTTCGTTATTCCCGGTGGGTTCCTGGTCTCGCTGGCTTCAGGAGTGAAGTTGCAGACCCTCATGGTGAGTGCTATAACTCATAAACGTAGAGTTGACCCAAAGAGTGAGCAACAGCAAGATTTATTGCAAAGAGCAAAAGAACAAACCTCCCACACCGTGCACGAGGACTCAACCGGGTTGTCCTGGGCTGGGGGCGGGTAGCCTGCTTTTATTCTCTTATCTGGCCCCACCCACATCCTGCTGATTGGTCCATTTTACAGAGAGCTGATTGGTCTAATTTACAGAGAGCTGATTGCTCCATTTTGACAGAGTGCTGATTGGTACATTTACAATCCTTGAGCTGGACACAGAGTCACAGAGTGCTAGTTAGCTAGATACAGAATTAGCTAGATACAGAGTACCAATTGGTGTATTTATGAACCTTGAGCTAGACATAGAGTGCTGATTGGTGTATTTACAAACCCTGAGCTAGACACAGAGTGCTGATTGGTGCACATACAATCCTCCGGCTAGATATAAAAGTTCTCCAAGTCCCCATCTGGTTCAGGAGCCCAGCTGGCTTCACCCAGTGGATCCTCCACTGGGGCTGCAGGGGGAGCTGCCGCCAGTCCCGAGTCACGCCTGCACTCCTCACCCCTTGGGCTGTCGATGGGACCCGGCGCCACTGAGCAGCGGGCAGCGC